GTATTGTGTGTTACTCTTCACTTCTGCATGGCTACTGCAAGGAGGGAAGATTGAACGAAGCATTAAGCGCTCGTAAAGAGATGGAGGAAAGAGGTATCTGCATGGATCTTATATGCTACGCTATAATTATCCAAGCAATTCTCGACAAAAAGGACACAAAATTATTGCTCGATATCCTAAAGGAGATTCATGACTTAGGAATGAGGCCCGATAATGTTGTATATACTAGCATCATCGACAAATACGGAAGAGATGGAAATCTTGAAATGGCAAATGCTCATTGGGAACTTATGGTAGACGAAGGGTTCCCCCCGAATGTAGTGACATACACTGCGATGATTAATAATTTATGCAAAGCTGGATTCGTTGACAAGGCGGAGAGTTTGTGCAAAGAAATGATTTTTCGTGGGATAAACCCTAATCGAATAACTTACGGATGCTTTCTTGATCAACTTACTCGAGAAGGGAACATGGGAGAGGCTATAAAGCTGCATAAGGAAATGCTTGAAGCGTTTCTTGCAAACACAATCACGTACAATATGATCATTCGGGGGTATTGCAAATTGGGCTTAATTGACGAAGCTTTTAAGACCTTAGTTGAAATGTCGGATAACGGTGTAGCACCGGATTGTATAAGTTATTCGGTTATTATGTACGAGAATTGTAGAAGGGGTGATTTGGGAGGAGCTTTGAGGTTATGGGAATCGATGCTGGAACGAGATATTAATCCCGACGGAATTGCGTATAATTTTCTGATAAATGCATGCTGTGCAGCTGGAGAGTTTGGCAAGGCTTTTGAGTTACAGTGTGATATGGTGAAGAGAGGTTTAAGGTTAACTAGGGCAACATATGATTATCTTATGAAATGCAGACCAGAGAATAAGATAAGATAAATTTTTGTTATGCTTGTTACATTTTTTTGTTGGGACTATGAGCAAATTGTAGGATTTAGTTTGACATAGGATTTTGTATATGTGATGTAATTATTCGTTGATGATTCGAAACAGAATCGACACCCAATAGATCTGCACCATTCATGTGTTTTTGTGTGTGAATAAATGGTAAAGATCAACCTGCTGTAGCATGGAATAACCCGTTCTCCACACGTTGGATTGCTCCACAACATAATCAAAACAAGTAATCGAAGCTGCTATACAAAATCGGAACAGAACAATTTGAAATTAGGAGGCCAATAGAAAAGAGTCAAGAATACATTTTCTGGGACGGATATATAAACCAATCCGATAATGGTTTATCCGGCCCATGCAGTCAAATGAAATAAAATAAACCCACAAACGAAAAATAGCCAAAATAACGAAATTTGTTCTACGTAATGACCGTACTAAAGAAATAAAAACTTCGACAACAGATGCTGCATAGCATAGTTCCACAAACTATTAACATTTTTTCCCCCTTAAGTAGAGCAAAGATTCATATACCATACTTTGCTGCAACTCGAGATTTTTTTAAAAAGCACGACTTTTGAAAACATCGAGACCCATTTCAGTCGGATCTGTGGCTTGAAGCTCTACCTGAATTCCATCAAGTTCTCTCTTGAACCTATCCTTTGAGCTGGCATAGATCATTTTGCTCCTCACTTTTGCTGTATCAGGCGACCTTATGGCACATATAATGTACAACACGATTTAGACAAAGCCTCGATATTTTGAAATTAATAACTGTCAACATTAAGGAAGGAATATTTATTACCATGCAATGAAGAAAATCTTGCTCTTTTGGACACTCTCTTCGGTCACAAAGTCGAAATCGAAAACTGCATATCTGCATTCATCAGCAGGAAGGCTTGCAGTAAAGTCCTCGTAAGTTTCGATTGGTTCACCGAGCTTTTCCACCATAACCTGTTTTTGCTTCTCCTCAATCTTGTATACTATGAAGCGATGTGTCCTTTTAGCTTTCAACTCCATAAACTTCAGTTTGCAGTCATCGTGCACTGCCATTCCTGATGCTGAATTAGCCTATATCCACAAAAACAAGTTCAAATTTCATGAAGAAAATTTGAAGAATTGAAAAACAGTAATGATAATCTTTGTATAAGTGTACTACATATTCAGAGTGTGGGCTTCAATCTTTTTCCTTATTCAGAGGAAGAGAGAATGGCACATACCACCATCGACACACACACACACACACATGCAAATTCAGGCAGCTATGCAACTCTTTTTCAATCCCAGTATGTTTAAGGAAAAAATAAATTATGTATAGATGCATCAACTAATTAATCCAGCAAGGTAGGACGACATCATTAAAGGGCATTCAACAATCAGAAAGACGACAACAAAAAATTTCACTGCTCTTGCAAATTGCTTCGGAGCTTTCCCACTATCAAGACATCACTCTTCTTATAGTTTCCATATACAAATATTTGCATCAATGATTTTGAAGAAAAAGATCACCATTGTTATTACTAAGAACCAAACAACCCCCCACCCCTGTAAACCCTTTTTTATCGAAACTCTCATTCATTCTCTACCCCACCTCTTACATGTTATCCTCTGCACAGTTCTCGTACCTCCCATACAAAAATCATTAAACCCTTTGTTTCATGCGGCATCTGTTTCTACATATATATTAAATATTCCATGAATCATTTCTTTAAAATCCATCACCAATCAAGCAAATAGACATTGTATAAAGATATCACCGGCACTGGCAATAAATATTCCATTACACAAACTTCCATGTCTTAAAAGCCAAATGCATCAAAGATCGACTCAACACGTCACATAGATGCCACATGGAAGAACGTGGTATTTCAAATTCAGTAGTAATTGCTAGAAAACATACAACGTTGACAATGTGCACTCCAAGTCCGTGTCACGTTTCACATTTAAATCGACACAAAAATTTCATGTGAGCCAATATACAATAATTATACTATTATACTTTCCTCCTTAAAAGTGATCATCAAGTAGTACAGTCGATTCATTAAAGTCGATAGGTGAAGCTCTGTCATTACAATCATTAACACATTCGTGTAACCTATACGGAACCTATGCAGATATAGGGTTTCACAACTTACACTGTACTAAAAAACCCTAGTATCACGCAGTAGGTAAATTTTATTTTTAACAAAAAAACAAATTCATAAAAATTAATACTCTACAGGCTTAATACAAGAAGATCTGTACGGAAAAAAAATATGGCAAACACAAATTCGTTAAACACAATCATAAATTACACCAAATCAGATCTAAGATTATAAAAATGAAAAACAAAAATGATGACCAGAAAACCCAAATCAAACCCAGCTGGCGAAAAAATACTGTCTGGCTTTCCGATTCCAGAAATCACAAAGATCTCGAATCGAAAATCAAGTGTTGGAACAAAAAAAAATCACAATTAACTTAAAAAAATGATTATCTCAAAATAAAGTAATAATACAGTAAAGTGAAAAAAATAAAAATAGCGGCGAAAGCTCATTACCATGGTAACCGAGTTGTATTCGGAGAAGATCGAGGTTGGTTTTGACAAGCTTCTTCAAAGAGAAGATTTAGGGCCGGAAAAAAGGGTTGCGCGTGCGCGCGTGTGTATGTTTTGCGAGTAGATATTGGGAAAGAGAGAGACAGAAGAATAAAAGACTACAGATGACTTTATTCACAGCGAAGAGAAGCAAAAATATAGCGGAAGTGTGAAATGTCAATTATACCCCTGATACCCGCCGCTTCACCTTATGTAGTTTCGGCTGCGTGCTTGGTTACATTGTCCTTTCACAATTGTGAATTGTTCTTTGGTTTGTAGTTTATACTAGCTTTTGACTCCGAATTATTCCATATTTGGTTCGAGATGATCGGTTAAAAGTTCGTTTAAATTCGGTTTGTTAATATAACGAATCAAGTTTGATGACACTTTTTTGATAGAAATTGTAAAACTCGATTACAGTTTGAGCTCGATAAGAGAGAAGGGATGATAAAAATATGTACACGAAAAAATCAAATTACCCGAAGACGATTCATGTGCAGTTCTATTGAATATCATTTGAATTCGACCCGATTTTTTATCAAATCGAACACGAACACTATTTTATAGCTTAATGGGCCCTAAACTAAATTATACGTTTTAACTGTGGAAAGCCCAACTCCACAATTGCTAGCCTATTAGGGCCCAATTAAGTTAATTGAACATTTAAACCCTCGTAAGGGTCACTAACTAATATCAACTTAACTAGCATTTTTCCTCAGTGCGATGCATCGGAATATATTTAAATAGTAAACAAAAAATTAATCAATTTAATACATAATAAGAAAATATATGACACTAATATAGTAAAATTTAATAATGTAGTATTATTCATATTTTATATAACATTAGTTTTTTAAAATCTTACATATTAAGATTTATAATCCAAATAAATAGACTAAGACTTAAAAAATCGAATTTCTAGTTTTATCTCTTAAGATTTGAGATATATTGATGAAAAATAGGAGATTAATAATTGTTGAAAATTATAGTTAAAAAATTACTACAGAAAAATATTAAAAATAAATGATTACATAAGTAACAATAAGGTAGGATTCTTAAGGTAGGATTCTTCACGAGTTAGTTTTAATTTTGATAATTGTTAAAAAATATAGTTAGAAATTAGTAGAGAAATTAAAAATATTTAAAAAAAAAAATAATTACAGAAATACCATTAGGGTTTTTTAGGGTTGTTCAGCGTTTCTTTCTTTTATATATAAGACGGGTTAGTTTTAATTTTGATAATTGTTAAAAATTATAGTTACAAATTAGTAGAGAAAAAATATTAAAAATAAATAATTACAGAAATATCATTAGGGTTTTTTAAGGTTGCCCAGCGTTTCTTTCTTTTATATATAAGATTACATGTATAAATAGTCGAGGTTTATACTATGCTATATCGAGTGCAATATACTGATAGATTTTTACCAATTACAAACACTCAGACACTCACATTAGTATATGTCGATTAACTGTAAAAAATCATCCGGGATAATCTCCAATGAGTGTAGTATATAAATAATCCATGGTTACGATAATCTTCAGCCTTTATGCAAGTTTGAAGGTTGATGCCTCTAAATTTTAATGTGTGATTCTTTACATGTACTTAGATATTAAAATTATAACTTATTTCAAATGAGTTCAACATGTTCTTGGATGTTTAATTATACTTTCGTTTAGTTCAGTTCAGAATGTGAGTGTTGCGTAACTATTAGTCGATTACTTAATCATGGTTGTTGATCTACAACTATAAAAATTCTCGAATGTTGAAAAGTTATAAAACTCAAAGTTCGAGCGTTGCAAAATGATCGTTTAAATGTGGCTGTGAATCTATTACAACCACTAAAATTTGAATTTATGGAAAAATAAAATAAAAAACAAAAAAAATACATGAATTTATCGTTTCGACTTTCGATAGTTTTGATGTAAATGGTCCGTAATTCAAGGGGTCGCATTGAATAACTCATTGACCGAATTAAATAATGATTGATCTTAAACAAGTTACGAGACGTTGTTGAGTTTGACCAAAGCGATTATCGGCTCACAATCTAGTTTAGACCCCTCTCTCGATTTGATATACTTAATCGTTGTATGTTTTGTTAGAAATGAATTTGATGATATTGATCAAGTCAAAACGATTTCTTTAAATCGAAAAATCGTTTCCATATACAATTAGAAAGTTAAATGAAGGAAATCGAGCATTTTTTCTTATTGCGATATATATTTTATTTTTCGTGGAATTATGGCCGCCACTCACTTTCCACGTGAACTTATTACATATGGTAAGAGAAAAAGTTCGACAATCTCTTTTTTCTAGATTTGACTTGGCATTTATGAAACATTTTATGTTATCCTAAAATCTCATATTAATTATCACGTTTGCACGACAAATGTATCACATTCGGAAATAACGATTACTTATTTAAAAAAAACAAACATAACTACTATTGATCTAACCATCATCAATAAATGTACGTAATAGCTTACGCGGAATAATTCGTTACATCCCGCGAAAAACTCCTATAAACATGATCTAAGTAATTTGATTTTTATAAAAAATCGACCTTTGCGAAATTTATTTAAAATTAAAAATAGGTGAGAGGAGCAAATTTCAAATAATACTTTATTTTGAAGTAATACTATATTTTCAAGTAATACTATTATTTAAAAGAAAAAAATAGGTGAGACTGGGAGAGGAACAATTTTCAAAGAATATTCTATTTTGAAAAATTTCAAAATAATACTAAACAAAGGGCCTAGAAAACAAAAAATCCAAGGCGGGAATTCCCTCGATCAAAAATTTCAAAATTCCCTACTTGCTTCCTATTGGTCCATTTCACATGACGCGGATCGACACTCAATCCGAATCCAATGGCTGTAATCGCACAATCTCAAGCCAGATGCCACCACCCCCACCCCTATATAACCACGCCCACATTTTAAGAAACTTCATCACCATCAAAAGCAGCCTTTCTCTTCTACCAACAATTCTCCATCTCGCTTAGTTCCCGGTGCAAAATCGTCATTTCATGGAGGCTGCCGGAAAACCTAAGAAGGGCGCCGCCGGAAGGAAGATTGGCGGCACGAATAAGAAGTCCGTCACCCGCTCCGCCAGAGCCGGCCTCCAGTTCCCCGTCGGCAGAATCGGCCGTTTCCTGAAGAAAGGCCGTTACGCCCAGCGTATCGGATCCGGAGCCCCGGTTTACTTGGCCGCCGTTCTCGAGTATTTAGCTGCTGAGGTAAAACCTAAATTAAATAAAAAAAGTCCTTTCTCTCAGATCTCCGGTCGAAAATAATTTCATTTCAAAAATTAACGAGGGTTTTGAAATTACAGGTGTTGGAATTGGCTGGAAATGCGGCGAGAGACAATAAGAAGAGCAGGATTATACCGAGGCATCTGCTGTTGGCTGTGAGGAACGATGAGGAGCTGGGGAAGTTGTTGCAGGGTGTGACGATTGCTCACGGTGGCGTGCTGCCGCAGATCAACCCGGTGCTGCTGCCGAAGAAGACCGGCGGCGATAAGCCGATCAAGGAGCCGAAGTCGCCGGCTGCTAAGTCCCCGAAGAAAGCCGCGGCTTAGTTTGTTCTAGAATTTGGGGTTATTTGGTTTTTCTTTTTATTTGTATGGAGTTTTTGGGCTTAAAAAAACTGTAGGTTGTAATTACGCAGTTCTGGTGATTAAACCTTATATGTAGTATGAATTTAGTGAATCGAATCAATTTCTTCTCTTATCGTCTTTGAATTTCTCTTTTATCCTTATTTATTTATTATATTTGGTTAATTTTAATTTTTTGTGTTGATGATGTGAATTTTATGTCAAAAGGTTAAATAAATTGGGGCTTCATTTCTAGGGTTTTCTATTCGGGCTGAGAATCGTCGATGCAGAAAAGAAAGATCTAAATTGCCCTTTTAGACATTGATTTACAATTCGTTTGATTGATGTTTCAAGGAATTTGAATCTTCTCGGTACAAGGATGCATTCTCTGAGTAGGATCTGTCCAGGCTTTTCGTCTCCCCTCCATAGATGGCTCACATGGCGGCGTTCTTGCACTCATCTGTTTGTTGGAGGTCTCTCTCTCTCTCTCTCTCACACACACACACACACACACACACACACACACATTCATGATGATTGCAGAACTATTAGGGTTGACATGAAATGTATAAATGGATCTTAATTGTGATTCTTGCACCTGTTTGATAAAATGTCACTGAGAAGTATTTCTGCATTTCAAATTAGAACGTTGGGTATTCAAGTTAGGATATCTAATGTTCACAGTTGTTTTCCTGTATAAAATCGTCGTAAATGTTTATCGTAAATTCAATAGTTCCACATTGATAAACCATAAAGATTCTTAGAATACCAATGAAATTTATATCGAACAGCAAATAAATAACATTCTTCAGGACTTCGCAGCTACATACCATTTTAAACGCCGTAATTTTAGCACGCTCGTCACATTCTAAAACTTCGAACTGCACTGTTATATATAGTAAGCAGCTCATCGCTTGTATCTGAATTAATACAATCTGTTTTTAAATTTATTATTATTTTTTATTTCCAGGACTTTCTTATGATACAAATGAAACTGCTTTGAAGGATGCTTTTGATGAATACGGTGAAATAATTGAAGGTAGGCACTAAACTATAACATTTTCTTTCGACTTATTTCGCATTATTTTTCAAACGGTAACGATTCATATTAATATTAGCAGTTAAGGTAATATGTGACCGCGTAAGTGGAAAATCGAGAGGGTACGGATTTGTGCATTACTCTTCTGAGTTGGCAGCAAACAAAGCCTTAAAGGAGATGGATGGCCAGGTATGCTCGTGTGTTCAGATATATTTTTCGTTACGTGTTTAATGAATTTTTTTTCAGCTTCATTAGATTTTTATGCGTGTTTTTTTCTTTTCTTTATTTCTTTTATTTTTTGGTAGTTACTGGATGGCAGAAATATCCGTATTCATTACGGCCACGTGGACGGAAAGCAATCAACTCAGGTCTAACACTAGTTAACTTTTGCTTTTATTAAGTTCATTATATCACTTGCTCGATTTATGAAAATTAAAGTTCGATCGTTCATAAATTCTCATTCCATTTTCCTCATGTATCATACCTTTAATAATGCACTTTTTATGGCAACTGATTTGTCGGTCGAAAACTGAAAGAAAAAAAAAAATAGTTGGCTTTTCGTTCAATACTCTGTTTACAGTATAAATTGACGCATGATTGCACTTTGACGGAAAAAAACGAGATTAACTCAACGAAGTTCGCACATGCTTATAAGCCCCATTTAGTGACCGAGAATTGGGATACACATTCTTGAATGATAACGAAACTCCGACTGAAGGCTTGAGTTGCAGAAGCTAAAACTATCTTCATATTTTTTTTTGAACGGGAAATCCGGTGATAAAAATTCATCGGCTGCATTTTCTTTTACAGCTTCGTAGCCAAACCCCGGCGTCAAATGGAACACAGATTACATGATTACATCATATCTTTCTTTGGGATCTCGTAAGAATTTATTTAATTTCCAGTAACATATTTGATTGTCATAAATGTAAATATAAACAAAGAAGAAAAATATTAAATTGTTATTAAATTAATATATCTAAGCTGAAAATGCTTGCTTTGAAATGTTAATACACATAGTTTCTTTTGTTTCAGGGCTAGTGGTGGTGGAGGAGAAGTATATTCGAATTCACAGAAGATGTTGTTAGTTGGATAAACGCGCTTTTATATAAAAATGTATTTCTGCAAAAACTATTTTTTTTCAGGTTAACATATTAGAAATGTTTTTTTTTTTTTTTTTTTTTTTTTTAAGTTTATTGAGTGATATCCGATTTTTGTAGATGCTACACCGGATGATCCTGTACCGTAGATCTACACATAATAACACAAACTCATATGTATGTGTTCTTAGTGGATAGTTATTTTTATAGACAACATCTCATAGACCGTAATATTCAACAATCGAGTAACACTCATTTGACACGATTGAGTTATTTACATGTGTATGTATAAATCTACGATGACATTCTGCTTGGTGTAGTTTCATCGGGGTGCCAATTTTGTTGCGAATAAATGCTGAGTATGGTTTAGTAGTTGAGTCGCAGAAAAAATAAAATGACCCATCGCAATTTATGTAAATACAAAGAGGAACACGATAAAAGGAAATGACAATATTATATTAGTGAAATACAGTAAAATCTCGATAAATTAGTAACCTCATTTAAATAATAGTTTCTTCTGAACCTAACTCGATAAAAAACCTACTAAGTTATTAGTTTAATAATTTAATATTTCGTTAAATTAATAAAATTTTGCTACTCGAGAGTCGAGAGTCCAAACTCTATTAATTTATCAACAATTTCTTTTGGGTTTAGATTTCGAATAATAATAATTTCAGGGACTAAAAGCGAAATTCGTCATAACTTGCAGCGAGTAAGGGTAATACCTCATTTACCCATTCCATTTTTCCGAAAGAACAAAAACTCACACAGAGAGAGAGAGAGAGAGGCAAAGAAGTTGAACAATGGCGTGGAGGGGACAGCTTTCTCGAAATCTTAAGGAGCTTCGCATCTTATTCTCTCCTAATTCACCTTCCAGCTCTTCTACTAGGTTTTCTCCATTTGATATTCATCCAATTGTTTCATTGTTTCGATTATTTTCTTAATTTTGATTTTTTTTTCTTTGGGGCAGAGCTTTCATCGAGAACAATTACAAGGATCTGAAGACGAAAAACCCTAGGCTCCCGATTTTGATCCGTGAGGCTACAGGAATCGAGCCTCAGCTTTGGGCTAGATATGGTAATTTCCTCAATCTTCATTTTCAGATCCCTATTTCTTATTCGAATAATGCTGGAATTTACGGTGGATTAATTTATACATTTTTTATTTTTGTGTCTTATTTGCTGATTTTCAATTTTGGTTTGAGTGAGCTCTGTTTCTAGGGTTGATTAGTGCATTTTCAGCTACATAAAATTGAAGTCCTTTAAAAAAGCACACGAATGTGAATGTATAATATACATCTTTGATTTATTTGATTTATCTGAATTATTATCATTCTTTATAAACTATATTGCCTTGTTTCAAGAGAGATGCCCGTGTTAGTAGAAACTCCTTAGTATCATGTAATGTGGAGTATTTTATGTTGGTGTCGAAATTTCGGACACGAAAATATTTCTCACAGTGCATTGATATTTTCAGCCACTCACTTTTGCATTGTTGGATAGCCACTTTGGTAGCATAGATTTAGATCTTTTGCAACGAGAATAATGTTTTATAATAAAAGTAGAAATGGTGGAAAGATTTGTCCTTTACGTCCGAATCAAAATCAGGCGGCCTGTCGAGTGTTCGTGGAATTAGGGACAATTTTTTTCTCAATTCTAATCGATTAGTCATTTTATTAGTTAGTGGTAAATCCCCCCCAGGCTTCACAAATCGAAAGGGCCACATGTTTATCTCTTATAAATACTGATAACGTAAGGAAATATGCATTAGGCATCAAATTTATATCAAACCAATTTCCACTTCACTGGTAGTACAAAAAACTAGTGTCGTATTGACTACGATTTTTTTTGAACTTTTTCCTTTTGAAAGTCGATCTTGAGCGCTTTGTGATCTTGTTTTCTTGGGATTTGCAGAAAAGAAACACTCGATATCAAGCTTATATTCATTTTTAGTTTACTATAGAATCTGTTAACGAATTTTCTCCATTGATATATGCAGACATGGGCGTCGAGAGGGGAATACGTTTGGAAGGCTTAAACGAGGAGCAGATTTCGAAGGCGCTTGAAGACCTCTCTAAGGGAGGGGCGGCAGCCGTTTAAAGGCTGAAGCATTCAGCTGTTGCATTTTTTTACCCAGACTCAATAAAATGGCAGGCATCTTGATTTCGTGCACCGATGTATTTGAGTTAATTGTCTGATAATTTCACCTTTTGTAAACTGCTTCTTGCAAAAAAAAAAAAAACAGTTGCTTGTTTATTGTAGCCTTTGTGGGAAATACGATACATCCATAAATTAATCTTCCAGTGTATTACTGCACCCGGATTAACTTTCTTGATTGTTTCTTGTTTTCGATTGTCATTGTTTTGTTGTCGAGGATGCGAAATTACTGGGCTTTATGGTCTCGTTTTCTTGCGATTATCCGGAAACAAATACCATATATTAATTGAATTCTTGATGAAGTGACAGACAGCAATCTTTATACTAATTCTCTATTAGCTCGTTGAACTGTAAAGATTATACATTTGCACATAGTAAAACCGCAGCAGTAATAACACTCACTAACAAAAATGTAGAAACTAATTAATTCTTCTAAAATACTAATCCAGATAATGGACTTCAAGAACTTCGATTTGAAAACACAATGTGTAAACTAATTTTTCCCCTGCAATAATCGAAAATGCAGAATCTGGAAAATCGTGAGAATTATACAGGGTGCAAAATGGCAGTTACTCGAGCCCTTTTTTTCCCCCCTAATGATGAAACTTTACACACTTGTAAATTGTTATGTCTTTGTAAAAAAAAAAAAAGGAAAAAGAGAAACGAAAAAAATGTAACGTCTATGAACTCAGATCCACAACTTCTCAATCGACCGTATGCATTTTGGACAAGGCTTTCGAGTCGGTCAATTATAACCTGAAATACCATGAGATACACATGTAAATCAAACCAGCAGCTACGATTTTCAATTAAATAAAACAAATTTAGGCAACATAATTCACAAAATGTAGGCGCAATTATTACCAAATATCTCAGACATTCGGCAAGTTAGCCAATGTGGTCGAAAAACTTTCCCTCCACGACAAATTTCCGAGAAGTAGTTCTATCATCCCATCGTTTACAACATGTAACTACTCGTCAAGAAAATGGAATTCCGCCTTCCCAACTGGAATACGCCAAAAATAAAGAATTACAAGTTTTATAAATCAAATTGTCACAAACGGGATTATCTGTCACGCTGGCTTACTTATTTTACATCCTAACTCGCTGCCACATTTGACGCAGTAGATATTCGCAACCGTGTTTCGGCCAATTCGGTAGTTACGAACAGGCTCATCTACTTCCACATTTTCACTGCATATAGACGAAAAATCGATGGACATAAAATAAATAAAAATAAAAAATATTTTTTCTTGAAAAGCTCTCAAAATAAAGCCATTTGATATTCAACAATTATGAAGATACGGGATATGAAAATCGAAAAGAAAAAAAATTAAAGAAAAAAGAGAAATTGCAGAGATAAACCCAAGCAAGCAATAAAATTTGAATCTAACTTAATTATATATAAAAAAATTATGTAGGAAACTTAAATAAAAAATTCCATAAAAAAAAAAAAAGAAGAATTTAGATCTCACACTTTACTGAAGATAAAGAATCGATTCAGTAAAATATTATATGATTATTTAATCAAGACTCAAGAATATCATATATATATATATATATATATATATATATATATATATATATATATATATATATATATATATATATATATATATATATATATATATATTAATATATATATTAATATATTAATTTTGATATTTGATATTTTATTTTGATGCCTATATAAATTATTTTGCTCCAACCATAGGTAATCTAAAAATTGTTAATTAAATATAAACAAAATAATTATATATTTAATTGCCACATGTCATTTATTAAGTGGTCATTTAAGTGGTTAAATTTATAACTTTCATTTGTTAGAACAACTACAATGGAGTTATTAAATTGGATATCAAAACCCTTAACTACTATTTTGATAATTGAAATTAGAAATTTTTCACTCCAATAGAGTTACCAAATGAGTTTCTATTTTGATTTTTTAATTTTTGAGAAGTAAAAATACATCCGAAGAAATAATATCAATTGGAAGTTACATAACTTAACCACCTTAATAACCAATTAGAAAATGACATGTGTTAATTAAAATATATAATTACATTATTTATTTTTAATTAGCAACTATTTGATAACTATGGTTGGAGCAAATAAATTTATTTAGAGCAACTCCAATGCTAAATATCAAAATTGGATTATCAAATGTTCATTTAATATTTAAGATAATATTTTAAAATAAATTAAAAACTCATCTACTCCAACCATGGTTATCAAATTTTATTATCAATTGGAAGTTTTTTTGATAATTTTATGGGCAAATGGCAAAAAGGCCCATCACATGAGACTTAAATGCATTTTGGTCCACAAAAAAAACAGTCTCTCAATTAAGCCCATCCCCATGTCTTTAGTCAAAAATACCCTCAATAATATAATTCTTATCAATTCCACCCATTATACTCTAACTTCCTTAATATTACACATTGACCCCAAATTTTAACAAATATATCACATTAACCCTCAAAACTTTTTTTTTTCAGAAAATAATTTTTTTTCTGAAATGTTTTTTTCCGGCCAGATTCCGGCGTTGACTTTTTTTTTTTTTTTTTGAAACTTTTGTTTTTCCTGAAATTTTTTTCCGGCCGGTCAACCACCGTTGACCGCCGGTCTCCGACGTTGATTTTTTTTTTTTTTTTGAATTGTTTTTCTTAGAAAAAAATATTTTAGTTAATATTACTGCCTTGCCTACTAAATTATTGTCTCAGACAGTAATATTACTGTTTGAGACAGTAATATTATGAATATTATTTTTCCGAACAGTAGTATTATTAATATTATTGTCTAAGATAGTTAAATTACTGTTGGAGACAGTAATTTAACATCCAAGGCAGTAATATTAATTAAAATAATTTTTTTTAAGGAAAAAAAAAAGAAAGTCAATTAACAGTTAAATTACTGTCTCCGACAGTTAAATAACTGTCGGAGACAGTAATTTAGCAACGAATACAGTAATATTAATTAATTTTTTTTTTTAAGAATAAATAAGTCAATTAACAGTTAAATTACTGTCTCCGACAGTTCAATAACTGCTGGAGACAGTAATTTAGCAACGAATACAGTAATATTAATTAAAATATTTTTGAAGAAAAAAAAAACAAAAGAGTCAATTAATAGTTAAAATACTGTCTCCGAGAGTTAAATAACTGCCGGAGACAGTAATTTAGCAGCCAATACAGTAATATTAATTAAAATATTTTTTTTAAGAAAAAACAAAATTATAAAAAAAAAAAAAAAAAAAAATTCAACGCCGGAGACCCGGCGGTCAACGGCAGTTGACCGGCCGGAAAAAAAATTCAGGGAAAAAAAATTTTCAAAAAAAAAAAAAAAAAAAAAAAAAAAGTCAACGCCGTAGACCGGCGGACAACGCCTGTCAACGGCGGCGACCGACGGTCTCAGATGGTGGCGGGTCAAAATTGAAATTAGGGTTAAAATTGGTTAATTGATGAAATTGAGATAAATTGAGGTGTAAATCATGAAATTGGAGTTAAATTGGGTTTCAATGAATTTGGGGTAATTTTGGTATATATAAAGGGATTTTCCTTATTTGCAAATAAGTTTGAATGAGTTGGATTTATTTGAAAGACAAAAAAGTTGGATGTCCCTCTTTTAATTAAGTGCCCTTGTCATGGGCCTATTTGCCATTACCCCTAATTTTATATGTAATTGCCACATGTCAATTTGTGAATGGTTGGTTAGGTGGTTATTTTTTTGATAACTCAATCTAGAGGAAGTATTTCAAGATTCAAAGAGGAGAAATATCAAAATACAAACCCATTTTAATAACCTATTTGGAGAACAATTTTTTTCAAAATTTTAGTAGTCAAATGATAGTTAAGAGAATTGATAACTCATTTAACAACTCCATTGGAGTTGCTCTTAGAGCAACTCCAATGCTAAACATCAAAATTGGATTATCAAATACTCATTTGATAATTAAGATAATATTTTAATATCTATTTACAACTTATTTACTCCAACCATGGTTATCTAAATCAATAATCAATTGGAAGTTTTTTAGTGGTTTTATTTGTAATTGCCACGTGTCATTTTTTGATTGGATGTTTATGTAGTTATTTTTTTGATAACTCAATTTCCGGGATGTATTTTTACACTCAAAGAGGTAGAATATCAAAATACTTACCCATTTTGATACTCCCATTGGAGTGGAACTTTTTGATTTTGAAATATCAAAAAGGTGGTTTATGGATTTGATAATCCATTTGATACTCCCATTGAAGTTGCTCTTAGGGATCAAACTAAAATATAAAATATCAAATAAATATTTGATACTTCATTTTGATATTTATGGGTTGGAGTTGCTCTTATTATTTATTCAGGATGTACTTTTACATCCCAATATGTGAATTATCAAAATACAAACCTTATTTGATAACTCAATTGGAGTGGATTTTTTTTAATTTGAAATATCAAAAATGGTG